AACTTTCTCTCTCCCTGGCATCATGTAGTTGTCTATCTCTAGTTCACACTCAACACGTTTAAGAGAGACCTCTCACTAGTGTCTGCGTTCAGATGGTTCTTATTAAGGTGTTTGCAATGTCTCTTGGCCCCGCTGTTATTCTGTCAGTCAGACCTATAATCCAAGTTTCCTTATGACTGTGACCTCTCTTTAGATCTTCATGGCCAAACTATGTCTAAATTCTTCTGAGTTTTCTTATTTGCACAGCATGCCTTTTGTACAGGCCTTTTGTTCTTCCCAACTTTTTCCTTGTTTCCCTCACCCCCCTTGTTACTTGGGTTACCAGTTAAGATCCGTTCAGGACAAAAGCCACCCCGTACCCTGAATGGAGATTACTGCCACAAACGTAAATCTTGCGTGATTCTCTTTCCTTTCTGTCCCTCTGCTATCCTCCCCTTTTTCTTAACCAGATATAAAGTTCTTCTCGTTATTCCAGGTCTTTCCTGACATACCCCACTATGAATAGTAACTTTGCTGTTCACAAACGTCCCGTTGCTCAGCCTGCAGTTACTCCTCGTGCTGGCTTCTCCACTGCCTGTTTGCTTACGTTTCCAGCAAGCAACTTCAGGGTTTTTCCCCGTGTGCTTTCCTGGATGCTTTGGGAGGTGCTGTGTAAATCCATGAAATCACTGAACTGTTAACTTCCAAAACCTTCCATTTCTCTATAGTCTTCAAAAAGATGTTAGCAGGTATGTGCAAAGCTGAGAGCACTCCCTGTATGCGCAGAGTTTGTAAAAGCTTGGAAAGGAGAGGGAAAATAATGTCCTGTTTCGTTACACTAGGGGCTGTTGTGTTCTTCAAGTATTGAATGAAAAAATTATTAGTGGGTCAGTGTTTAGTAACTTACTCTATGATTTTACATTCTGTCTTTACTGTCTTTCAGAATGTTTTCTTTACTGCTGTGTAGGTGAGGTGACAGACAGGGGTAATGTTGAGTGGAAGCAGCAGCTGATAAATAAAAGGACCGAGATATTAAATTGTTAGAAATTACAGAGGAGAAAACCACCTTGAACTCTTGTAAAAGCACTTTTGGCATGTGTTTCTTTAACAGTTAAGATTTTGTAATGAGTAAGATGCTTATGAAACTGTTTCCATAGTGTTTAAATCAGGTTTATCCAGAGAAGTTAAGTTTGTGTGCTTGTGTTTTGCTGGTCACTTGTCCCTTATGAGATCTGGATGTAGAGTGAGACTTGCACGAAGGCTGCCAGAGAGTTGCTTTTTTGACAGGAATACTTACAAAAACTCAACTTGAGGTTAGTTTCTGCTGCACAGACGGGGGTCTCTGTGACACACAGAGAATTCCTTGGCTTTTGTCAGAAGTCTGCTTTTTAACTGCCTTTTGTCAGAACCCTGGAAACTGAACTATTCTTTCATTTCTGAAGCAGGACTCTTCTGAGGCTGAGCAGGCTGTTCTCTGAAGGTGGTAGCAGTTGCTGTCCTTGCCCAGATGGAAGTAGGCTTTTCAGCTCTGAACTAAGAGAATATTCCTCCCCTCTCACTCCTGTAGGCAGCCTTTATTTCTTTCCTAAACTCTTACCCCTGACTTGTTAATATAATTTAGGGACAGAGGGACATTTCATATTGTTTGAAAAATAACCTGGGGGTTTATAGTGGAGATCGTTTTCACAACTGTAAATGTTTGCAACATGTTTAAAGAATCTCAGCGTATATGGTATTGCTCCTGGAAATTGCAGATCTCTGTATTAACGGTGTCCCTTTAAAGAAGCTCTTGAATGGACACAACACTCCTTCTGCAGCGCTCTCGTGATATGAACTTAAATAATGTGCAAAGCTACAAAACTATATTGAGGCCAGTTTTAGTGAAGTTGTTTCTTAAGTGTCTAATTTCCTGAATAGAATTAAGACTTGGTTCCTGTTTCCTTCTCTCACTGTGGACCTCTGTCACCAGCTAATTCTCTTACTAGGAGCGTGTTCCGGAAAGGCATCGGGCATCTGCTACTCCCATTATTTGAAAATTACTGAAAAACTTAAAGAAAACGGCAATTTGTTTGCAATATAGGACAGAGGGTTTTTCTAAAGAGTTGACCAAAAAGTTTTGTGATGGCTGTCTTTGACATTTAGGAGAGAGCTGGTTAGTGCTAAATCCTGAGTTAGCCATCAGTTTGGTGTAGCTGCATCATCTGATCGGGTGCATTTTAATCTTTTCCAATTGAATTTTCACTCTCTTAGAGGAATTTGTGTGAGTGGGTCAGGAATGAACGCTCTGGGGAGAAATAAGGTATAAATTAATATAATAAATATAAATTTTAAACTCCCAAGAAAACAAAAAGCAGGAAAGAAACCAAGTATTGGAGCCTGAGGGATCGAAGTGGAATGATGCTGAAGGCTTCTTCAGTCAACACTCTCTTCCAAATCTCTGCTTTGATTTGGAAGAGTGTGTGGCTAAATGTGATATAAAGAAATATTTAATGAAAACAAAGTTAGTAAAATGAGAATGTAAGATCTTGTTTTCTAAAACTTCTTGCCCACGTGTACTGTCTTCAGATGAAAGAGTTAACTGATTTTATAAGTTTCAGTTAAAATACTGTTCCTGAGCAAAAACTGATTCCGACAGGGAGGGCAAATGCATGTTTTTACTTTCTCAAGCATTGTACTTAGTTATTTCAGTTGTCTTTTCTTGCACTGTTCTATGGAAGCAAGACTGGATTTAATTCTTTATTGAAAAAATATTTTTGAAACTTAAAAATACTTTAAAAATCCCTTCTCTTATGCTCTAAAATCTTTGTTTAGCTTTAAAGTCTTTGACATTATTTAGGAAGAGGAAGAGAGGATAGTGAGGCTTATTATTTATAGTGCAAAGTCAAGGAAATTGCTTCCCAAACATATGCTTGTTGTTAAGTCTATATACATGTGTTTGAGATTTCTGTAGTTGCCACTACCTTTTTTTTTTTTTTTTTTAAGATCACACTGTAAAGTAAGTTACAGTAAACAGCTCCTATGACAGAATTGCATGCTAGTTTTGCAGGGGGGGAAAACCCAGAATTGTTAGCAGTCCTGGGTTTTCTCTCTCTCTTTCCATTTGTTTTCTTAACAGTTCTGTCTATGCTGTTGCCCTCTTATTTAAAAACACATAGAAGTTGTTGGCCTTTTAACAAAAGCATCTTGAGGACTTGTTACTCTCTTCCTCCCTTTCCCTTTCATGTCTTTTGGAACTTCTTTTTTAGTTTTGAAGCCCTTCATGTGAAACTTGGAGAGGTTTATGTAAGCTTTAATACATTTATTATTGTTTTTTTAATGGGAGAGTCTGTTGCTCTAGCGTAGTGCCGAAATGTGGGGCTTTATGTGATGGGGTTAATTTTTCATGTATGGGAATTATGTGTTGTAGAGGGGAAGAAAAACAGGGAAAAGCAACTACTGAGGTGGGATTATGGTTATAGAAGTTACAGTTTTCTGCTTGTGGTGTTCCATATATACCCGTGCCCCGTGTTTGACTATACATTAATGAGTAAGAAAGTGTTTTAATGGCTTATATCTTTGGATAACTCCACTTTAGGCATAGGAGAGGACAAGTTTATTGGATACTATGGAACCAAAGCAATCTTCTGCTGTAGTAGTGGGGCCAGCTATCATCTTCACTTCAGATGAGTGACAATATCTTTGGATATTGTCTCAATTAGCCACGTATGGGGATGGAAGGTTGGCATGTGGGAGGCAAAAATGCTTACAACGTACAGCAGATAACCCAGCTGCAACATAGATGAGCAGTGGTCATCAGCTTGATGACCACTTGAGAATTTGGTCTTCTGGTTTGTTTTGGATGAGTCGTTGGTGGGAAAGCTATATCCAGTGTTGCCTTGTTTTCAGCAATGACTTAATTTTAACAAATCCTGGAGTGGTATAACTTTTCAGTGGTTCCCAGTGACAGGACGAGGGGCAACGGGCACAAGCTGGAACATGGGAAGTTCCACTCAAATCTGAGGAAGAACTTCTTTATGGTGAGGGTGACAGAGCCTTCCCAGGCTGCCCAGGGAGGGTGTGGAGTCCCCTTCTCTGGAGGTTTTCAAGACCCACATGGTTGCTGTTGTGGGAAATAAGCTAAGTTTTGCTTCAGCTAATTGATGTATCATTGTTAGTGTGATAGTACTAACAAAGAAGCCTTAGTAATAGTAGAGTCTAATAAATTGTATCCAATTAATCCCCAAAAATGCCCTTGGTCTATCAAGGGATCCTTGTTCGCAGAGCGTTATCTAAGTGAAGAGAAACAAACTGGAACATGGCCTTCGACACAGGAACCCAGAGGGGAGGGGAGTATCAATAAGGCCAAAGAAACCAGTCTGGTAAATCTGCCAAGTAGATGGTAACAAAGACTCTGAAATAACGTGTAGCATAATCAACTAATCAAAGGCATGTTTAGGATAATGATTTCGTAGAATAGGTGTGTGTGTGCCTTATATGGGAAAAAGTGCAAAATAAACCTGTAATAGGTCAAGCGGTCGGGAAGAATGTGAGCTCCAACTTCTCAGCCAATGAGAAGGGAGACAGAAACTCAAGCGGCCGGGATAAAGGTATAAAATACCTGAAAGCTAAAAGATCAACGTGCATCTATTTTTGGTGCACCCGATTCAGCGCTGTTTCGTATTAATAAATTATTATTTTTTTAACCTTTGCTTTGGTGACTTTGTCCTCTTTAAATTCTAAGATGTGAGTCGGTGTTTCTCACACTGTCCTGAGTGATGTGCTCTGGGCAATCCTGCTTTGGCAGGGGAGTTGGACTAGATGATCTCTAGAAGGTCCCTTCCAACTCCAAGAATTCAGTGATTCCGTGAAAAGAGCAGCAGAAACCTGGAATTTTGATTCTTTCTGCTGTCATGCTGTTGTTGTTTATTACTGCTTCCTTCTGTACAACCTGATGTATGCAAGCTATGAACAAGTGGCTTAACACCTACAATGTTGTGGTAAGGACTTTATGAGCTTACTCTTTGAAACTTTGAATTTTCCAGGATCCAGAGAGGAATGGAGACTCCATTGGATGTTTTGTCGCGAGCAGCGTCTCTAGTACATGCTGATGATGAGAAACGTAAGTCTGAAATTTAGTTCTCTGCTTTGTTGTATCCCAAAGCTTTATGTTTGTACTATCTAGCAGTCTATACGCTGGCTTTATTGATCTTTGCGTTTTTCTGAATCTAAGAAGTAAAATGTCTTGAGAAGCCCTTCAAAGGTTGTGTTTGTCTGGTGCGAACCCAGTATTTTGCATTTAAATTGGTCAGTAGGCAAGGGAGAATCATTCCTGTTATTTTGAAAATGTAGTTAACAATTCATATAAAGGTGCCCCTCTTCTTCCCAGTTGTATTTGCATTGCTGGGAGACACAAAGTTGTAATGGAGCTGCTGTCAAACTAAGGGTGATTTGACAACTCGTGCTTTCTAGTAGTGTCAATTAGACTTGTTTTCATTTAAGAACACATAACTGGGTAGGAATGAGTGGGTTACAAAGATTCCTTTTCAGTTGGTAAAGCTGAAGAGGTAGGCTGTTATCATGAGTAATGATAACATTTTCCTCTCGCTGCTGCTAAAAGGTGAGTAGAGGATGTTAACCTTGGGAATGATCTCAGCTTCAGCTACAGAGGCTCGTGTTGCCAATCATTTGCGTAATGTTTTTGCTTTTAACATTTACAGTAAGTGTTTAAGATGGGTTGACTAACGTTAGAATAATATTTTCAATTCCACCAAATTGCAGGGCTGCTTTGTAGATCAGATTGTTACCTGCGTGCTTACTAATACTTGTCTTTGTCAGGTTTTTTCTGAGTAGTGTAAGTGCTCAGGAAGTGTATGCGTCTTGGCTATCAACCTGAACAGATGCTAACTAGAAAAATGGTATTTTGGATTTCAGACTGCTTTTGTGTGTGGCTTCCGTGCATAAAATTACCTTTTAAGATGAATTCAGCTTTTCTTCTTTTGGTCTTTGTTCCTTTATTCTGTATGCATTTTTTTGAAAAGCAATTGCCTTGAATATTGAATAAAAGAATTGACTTACTGCTGTTGCTAATCAACTTCCTAAAGTAATTGCAAAGTAAACAAACACAGTGTATGTGGACAACAAGTCTCAGAAATTTTGTGTGTAGCCAAATAGTCAAGATAACAGTAGGTCGCTCTTTCAGAAGTTGGTAAAATGAAGGTTTCATACTCTGATGAGCTCCTCTGTGTTACTGGCTCATAGCTTGTAATGAATATTGGTTTTGCTGTTCTTTCACATTCACCTTGCTGCTGGATAAGTGCTGAGTTTTTACTGATCCCACTGTAGTCGGATGGTTTGGTTGATTGCTACAGCGAGTGACTGTTACTGCTAAAACCAACAGCAGTGGAAATCCTTGGGGGAAGAATTTCAACAGTGATTTTGGCCTGGGGGATTTCTCTCGTAAACTAACTTACATATTTGTAGAAAAGACAAAAGCTTAACCTATTTTTTTTTGAGTGCGTTTTTTAATATATATTTTGAATATGTATTCTCAATTTTCTGAATTAGGTGCATTCTTTTTTGTTTAACTATTGCCTAAGACTCCAGTTTGATTCTGAGTTCCACAGGGTAGGAATGTAGGGCTGGATTTGGAGAATCTAGAGGAAGTCTGATTCACTGCAACTTGCATGTGAGGAAGCTGATATGTGTCTGGTTCTAATTTACATTCCTTTAGTCTTACCACTTAGACTTAATTAGATTTATGCCACTCTGCAGCTTCTAACTTATGCTGTCTCTGAGTTTGTCCTGTTGTTGTGCATATTGCACACCAAGAAGGCTGTACTATGAAAAGCTGCTAAAAAGGCAGAAATGGGCAGTCCAGTGCAGTCCCTGAACTTCCACTTTTTCATGTCAGCTTTTGTGGAAATGGCACCTGCCGGAATCCACTCTGTGTTGCCAAGTGGATACTGACAGTTTGAAGTTAGTCTTAATCTTGAATTTAGCAATTATCCAGGAGTTCTAGCAGTGGTTCCCATCTGTATTTCTGTATCCCTTATTCACCTTGCCTGACAACTAGATTTCTACATGGAGTTTCTAGTATTCCAGTCACGACCAGAAGAGGAATAATGCCCTTTTTCTCTCTTTAAATGAGATTACTTTCAGATACTGAGTATCTGAAAGTAAACTACTGAATTTATTTCCATGATGTTTCTTCTATTTAGGTAATACATACAGGTAATTTCACTGATGATTCATGGGGAAAAAAGTTCCAACAGGGCGTTTTTGACATTTCTAATGATACCATGAAGTTTCCTGTTTCCAAAGTTTTGAGTAAGGACTTCAGATTAATTTAGTTTAGAAACATTTCGATCTTAGCCCAAGTCTTTTATTTTTGTGCTGGAATAAAAATTTGTCTAATTTCTTAGACAATTTTTAGAAATTTGTCTAAGATAATTCCTGATGCCCTTTGTGCACTTCATGGTTGGAATTTTATCCTATTTTTGAATGGAAAGCAGAGGAAATCTAGCTGTCTGCTGTCCTGCAGTGACAATACTGGCCAGTAACTAGTGGTTATGTTCCACTAGTGAAACAGTAAATCAGCCTGTTAAGATGATTGGGCTCACCTCAGATATTCTCATCTAAGCTATATGCCATGTAAGAGTTGAAAATTGCTAGTTTGTCACTTTTTAAAGATTGTTTTAAGCAATTCAGATATTGATTTTAACTGTAATACCTTAAGATTATTCCTCTAAAGTATTATTCCTACTAAAAGTAGTTTACTATTACGGTTTTTACGAGAAAATAAAGGTAACTTAATGCTGCTGCTTCTCTGTGTCTAGTGTGAGAAGTATATGCAGAATATGTATGAAATATATTTGAAGTTAGACTGTGTGCACTCCTACCCAAAGCTGGCTGAAGTTGTTGGCGGGCTCTTATTCATACATACCAATAATTTTCCCTACTTCTTGTCTTGAAAGTGTTAGTACTATTTGTACACAAGCCCTTGGTCCTCTCGAAGACATCTTAAATTGCAAAGTTTCACACTCAGGTATGCTTTAATCCCATCTAAATCTCAACTTCAAACTAATTTATATAAATCAGCAGCCTTCAAGTGCACTTATTGAATCCAAGCAGTGCAAGTACAGGCTCTTGTTAAAAAACAAGGTTTATTTCCTCAAGCTGCTGATAGGTGTTTAATTTTATTCTTGGTTTTCTAGGTGTATTCAGAGGAGGAATATTACCAGTATTTATGAATTAAATTCTTTCTAACATGAAGGATCCCCTTATCTCAGTGGGCACTCACTGCGGTGCCAAGTAATGTAGAATTGCATAGGTAGATATACAAATCCCACTCTGTTTAAAACAAATACCTTTAAACTTACCAGCACTTAAAGAAATGAATGAGATGTATGGCCATGTAGATTTCCCAGAATGGTTATTGATTTCTTAAACAAATATGACCTTCAGTTATTTTGGTTGGGGTTTTTTGCGGCTGCACCTGTGTCAATAAGGCTGACCTTCAGGGACATGTTTGCACTATATGTTGCTTTCCGTCGCATCTCTCTTTTATTTCATGAACTGTGCTATATACTATATTTCAAAAATTCCCAGTTTAAATCATTCTGCTTTTGTTATCGAAGACAATTTATCCAATGCATTTGGTTAATCTACTGTGTCGTGGAAATTATTAATTATGGAAAAGAAATGCTGACTGTAGTTTTGTACTTGTAACGATTACCACTGTGATGTAAGCAACTATTTAAGCTTATGGTATAGTGGGTCTGTACTTAAGTGAAACCAACAAAACAACCCCAAAAAAAGCTGAACAAAAGACGACGGACAGACCTTTAGAGGTGCTAACAGTTAAAGGCGAGGATAAGGATATTTCCTAATGGAGTTCATTGTTTACTTATTGTCCAGACTTGCTTTATCCCTTGGGTGGAAGGAAAGCACACAGTGATGTAATTATTAGCCAGTCATCTTGAAGGCTGTCACTAATTGCTCACCCTTCTGTAGAGAAGGGAAAGGATGTAGGAAGGCTGTGCTGGTTACCAGGGGCTGGTCAGTGCCAGGGGAGGTGAAGTGCAGCTATTTTATCTGTGAGTGGCATCTGCGAGGCTTTGCTGGGCTTTTTCAGTGCTTCGGAAGTGGGCTTGAGCTGAAGTGAACATCTGGAACAGCTGTGTATGTGTGTGTATGTCACGGTATCAGGGCTGGAAACTGTATCCAACGTGGGTTATTGTACAGTTGCAAAAACCAAGTTTCCAATGAGATGCTCAATACTACTCATTACTCTTCCCTTCCTCTTCTTTCCCTATACTGTTCTTACTGGGGTTGTGCTCATTTCTCACACCTTCAGGATTTCAGCTGGCTATTTTTTCAAAGACCACAGCAGGAGCTGGTAGTATTTCAGTAAAGACAAAGTATTACTGAAAGTACAGTTTTTCTTCCCATAATTGTGTTGAACAGCAAGCGTTCAGATATTAAGGAGGATTATCATTTTGCATTTATCTCCTATAAAAATAAGGGCTTGTGGAACAGGTCTTTCAGTTATAAACTGTTTTAAAAGCATAATCTTGTTATTGAGAAAATAGTGAAGGAATATCTAATAAGTACTTGCACTTGCAGACTGTGTTGAAAGCTGATTTTATAGTAACACTTTCCTTACACTTCTCTCCAATGTGCAAGTCCAGTTTAAGAATACAGGAATGAATGAGGAAAAACATGTTTCTTACTCTCTCAGGATAAGGTCTGTTGTGGCAAACTGGAGAAAATATACTTCCACGAGGAAATGAAAGGTTTGGAAACAGCTAATAAATGGCACAATAAAGTCCTAGGTAACAGCTTTGCATTCTAATACGTTGTACCAGATCCATACCTGGTGGGGCTTGAATTATGTTTTGAAAAACTGATACAGGACTGCATTTTAAAAGAAAAAAGGAGAAGGTGATCTTTGATCAAGCCATGCTTCGTGCACATGTACCATCCGTCGCGTGTGTCATCTTTGTATGCCTGGAAGCCTGGAGCTGCTATTCCACACTTCTTGCCTGTGAACACTATTATTGTTTGGCAACAGCTGCTTTTATGTGGTTTAGTTTAATCCACTTCAGATAATTAAGCTAG